AGGAAGGTGAAGCCCAGCCCGCCTTCATAACAACTTGAGGCAAGGGACCTCATGGCTCTGTGCCTCGGCTTCCCTCGCCTGTAAAACGGAATGATGGTTGTAGAGTTGCTCACAGGGGTTGTGAGGACTCAATGAGTTAATGCATGTCAAGCCTTTAGGCACTGGGTGCTTGCCCAGAGGCAGTGTGTTGAATATGCCTTCCTGGGAGTGCTCCAGCTCACTCCTGCCCCTCTGTAAAGACGGACCCAGTACAAACTCGCAAGGAGGGTTTTTCCCTCCTGGGTGTTTTGGAACTGGCCGTAGAACAGTTTTGTAGCAGCACACTCAGGGTGTTGGGACTTGAGAGAGGCTAGGGAGTCATGGAAGCTGGCCTAAAGTCAGCCCCACACTGACCTCTGTGGAGAGCCACACTGCCATGGGGTTAGAGCTGACAGTGGCTTCTATTCTAGAGCAAAAGTTTCTTTCCTTCTTGTCGGGTATCTGGGATAGGGATGCAGAAGGGAAGGAGGGACTCACTCCACAGTCCTAACTTTTAAGAGATTAGGTAATTATATAGATGATGGCTATGAAGAAATGGATCATGGTTATCAAGAAATATTTATTTCTAGCAAGCATGGTGGTAAACATCTGGAATCCCAGCTAGCACTCAAGAGTTGCAACAGGAGGATCACCCAAGCTTGGGTAATACACTGAAATTCCATCTCAAAATAAAAATGGATGATAAGACAGATACATAAGATACATAAAAACATCAATGTTTTTGTGGTGGGTACCCAGGCTTTCTGAAGTTTCAATTCCTCTTACCTCCTGCTGTACCATCTCACTTGGGCCTCAACATTTTCTTGTTCAACATTTTAAGATCCAGCCATTTGGGCCAGCCTTGATTCTTAGCTGAATGGACACCACTGGTTCACATCTGATGTTGTTACATGATTCACTTAGAGTTCAGAATGGCACTGCCTTTTCTATTTGGGTCAGTGTAAATCGCCAGTGCTTAGAAGACTGGCATACAGCATGTGTTCAGCAAATGGATTCCCCCCCTGCCCCTCCCCCCACACCTTCCACTACAGTTTATCAGTGTAGCAGAATGTTCTGGATCTAGAAACAGATCTATTCATGTTTACCTATTGGAAACGTTTCCAATTTGTCTATTTTGTCTTAAATGTATCTATTGACCTTATAGATTTTATTTTCTAACTCATTAATGACTTAATATGTTCTAGTTCCTTTTCATAGCTTTGTTTACTTGTGGCTTGTTTTACTTAGTGAGCTTCTAGTTTGCTAAGTTAAATTCCCTTCTTTCTTACTTAATGATAAAATATTTAGTTCTAGGCATTTAGCTTTGAGAGTAGCTGGACTGTATCTAGTAAATTTTGAGATGTGTTCCATAATTACTCAATAATCTACACTTGCATGTAAAGAATGCCTACCTAGTAAAAGAGTGACATGGTTCAAAAAACAAATTTTTCCTAAGTCATTATCTGACTTATGAAATGGCAGCCACTCTGTACAACATATTAATAGTAATAATGCATTAAAAATACCTATCCCATGATCTCCAAACTTCATTAGCCATCCTGTTTTTTAAAGGGGATATTTATATATATTTCTTATTTCTAGAAAGATGTTTGTAAATACAGCTCCAAATTATTTCCTTTCATACCAAAGAGCCACCCATCCCCCAGCTTTGCTGAAATAAATGTAAAAGCCATAGGGGATAAGCACATGCTGAGCTTTGTCTGCCCCCTATAGCCCAAGGCTTCTCAATCTCCACACTACTGACATTGAGCAGACTAATTCTCTGTGCTATCCTGTACATTGTATGTTGTTTAGCAATATCTTTGGCCTCTATCCATAATAGTAATATATGTTTGTATGTATGTGTGTATACATGCATGTTCACATAATCCACATCAAATTGTCACACCAAAAATATCTCCAAAAATTGTCAAATACTCCCTGATAGAGGTAGAAGACAAAACTGTTTGCATTTGAAAACCATAGCTAAGGGGCTGGGAAGTTGGCTCAGTGGTAGAGCGCTTACCTTGCATGCCTGAGGCCCTGGGTTCGATTCCTCAGCACCACATAAGAAAAAAGCTGGGGGGCTGGGAAGGTGGCTCAGTGGTAGAGTGCTTGCCTTGCATGCCTGAGGCCCTGGGTTCGATTCCTCAGCACCACATAAGCAAAAAGAAAAAAGCCGGAAGTGGTGCTGTGGCTCAAGTGGTGGAGCGCTAGCCTTGAGCTGAAGAGCTGAGGGATAGTGCCCAGGCCCAGAGTTCAGGCCCCACGACCGGACCCAAAAAAAAAAAAAAAAAAGCTGGAAGTGGTGCTGTAGCTCAAGTGGTAGAGCGCTAGCCTTGAGCTGGAGAGCTGAGGGACAGCACCCAGGCCCAGAGTTCAAGCCCCACGACCGGACCCAAAAAAAAAAACAAAAACAAAAAAAACCCATAGCTAAGATATGGAACCAACCCAGAGCCCCTCAGTAGATGAATGGATCAAGAAAATGTGGTATATATACACAATGGAATTCTATGCCTCCATCAGAAAGAATGACATTGCCCCATTTGTTAGGAAATGGAAAGACTTGGAAAAAATTATATTAACTGAAGTAAGCCAGGCCCAAAGAAACATAAGTCCTATAGTTTCCCTTATTTGCAATAACTAGTATATATCTGAGACAAACAGAAAAGGTCAGATAAGTTGATGTTAGGAGAAATGAACCCCAAGATAAGGACTCAAATTTTTTTTCTTTCTTGCGATTGTTTCTAACATATTTGTAAGATTATTTCTTTGTTGCTTTGTATGTCCCTCTCCCACAGTATAACCCCTGTTTTCACTATATTTGATGTTGGTATAATTTGTGGAGGGGAAGGGAAAAAACAAATCGTTTAATTAGGGATACAGGTGGACCCACTGCAACAATGAGATGGACAAGTCAGTACAAGTCATTATATCGAAAAACGAACATTACAACTTTGCGCTGAGGGAGGGGGAGGGGAGAGAAGGGGGCGGGGCTGGGGGGGGGGGAGATGGGAAGGGATCTGAAGGGGAAACAAAGGAGGAGGCTACAATGCTTGATAAGAAATGTACTCATTATCTTGCCCATGTAATTGTAACTCCTCTGTACGGTATTTTCACAATAAAAAAAATTTTAATAAAAAAAAAAAAAAAGAAAGAAAACCATTGCTACGGTATTATAAAAGCTACAGCCATGAAAGAAGTCAGGCCTCCTATTGTCCACCCACCTCTGTGCAGTGGCTCAGTACTTGAAGGACCCACAGTGAGCCCCTAGTGGTTACAGGCAGGAACTGCAGGTGGCGAGGCAAAGCAGCGACAAGTCTGTTTCTCCAGGTGGTCATACTTTTTCTCCTCTTGGCAGAACAAACAGGAAAATGTGGTATGGTGAACTTGTAGTTGGGAGGTACCATCTCTCTGGGGAGACCAAAATGCAGAGAAAAGAGGCAACCAGGAGCACACGCCTCTAGCAGCCCATGGCCTTGACCTTAGTTCCAGAGCATGAGAGGGGTTACCATGACTTGTGGGAGTCCAATCCAGCCCAGAACAGAGAACACAAATTGAATTGAGAGCTGCAGGCCTGTCCACATAAGAGAGGATGCCTGTACTCAATGAAACCTCAACACAGGGGAAGCATCAGCCCTTCTTTTCTTTTCATAGCCACTGGTTTCCACAATTAGTTATAAAAAGCAACACATCGCTCTTTTCATAAAATAATCTCCTCACCATCCCTCACTACTAAAGTATAGAAAGCACCTATCTTGACTCATAGGTTCTTGTTGTAAGTATATGTTATGCTTAAGATCTACAGAGGGGCTATATTGTCATTTGGAGCACAGGCTTGGAACCTAGATGCTGGGTGCAAGTCCCAGATCACCACTACCATGTGAACCTATTGGCCTCTCTTCAACTCAGTTCCCTCATTTGTGAAGTAGGAACAATAAGAGAGCCCCCCGCCTCAATGATGTGAATCAAACCCAGGACCTTATTCTAGTATGCAGGTACTATACCAATGAGCTACATTCCCAGCTGAGGACCTATCTTATTGTGTGTTACAAGGGCTATAACTTACCAACAACACACATGTGGTCAGCAAACGCTAAGCGTTCATATGTTCATATGTCTTTATTTGGTAACAGCTAAAAACCTGGAAATTCAACTGCCAGCCATTTCCAATTTAAAACTGGCTATGTAGCATCTCCAATCTGGAATACCAGGTAGCCATTGAAAGAAATAAAGCAGAACTATATCTACTTAAATAGAACCTACTTCATAATAAGTAATGAATAGTATTTATGTTATATATAAAAGTTAGCTAAGTTAATGATATGTAAGAGAGAATATATAGACAAACATACAGAGTTAGAACTTACTGATGTGTTTAAAAGTTAAACAGTTGTATGACTTCACCTGCATAGAAAATTTCTAGAAGAACCCTTAAATGGTTGCCAATAGGATATTCATGTCTAGGGAGAGAATATAGAGAGCTAGAGAAATTGTGCTTCCTCCTTTACTACTATATAAATCTTCTACCATGAACATACACTTTTTAAACACTTCTAGAGACAGGTGCCAGTGTAATCCTAGTGACTCAGGAAGTTGAGATCTGAGGCGCACAGCTCAAAGCCAGCCCAGGCAGGAAAGTCCATGAGACTTTTTTTTTTTAATTTTAAGATTTTTTATTGTGAAAATACCGTACAGAGGAGTTACAATTACGTGGGCAAGATAACGAGTACATTTCTTATCAAGCATTGTTGCCTCCTCATTGTTTCCCCTTCCCATACTCCTCCCCTCCCCCCACCCCATCCTCCCTCACCCCCCACAAGTTTTAAGTTCGTTTTTTGACATAACGACTTGTACATCTCATTATTGCAATGGGTCCACCTGTATCCCTAGTTAAACGATTTGTTTCCCTTTCCCTCCACAAATTATACCAACATCAATTACAGTGAAGGTATGGGTTATACCATTGGGGAGGAACATACAAAAATATGGAACGCTTCATGAATTTGTGTGTCATCCTTGCGCTGGGGCCATGCTAATCTTCTCTGTATTGTTCCAATTTTAGTCCGTGTGCCTCTGAAGCACATAGTGAGACTCTTATCTCCAGTTAAGTACTCAAAAAAGCTGGAAGAGGTGAGATGGCCCAACTGATAAGAGCACTAGCCTTGAGCTAAAGAAGATCAGGAAAAGCACCCAGGCCCAGACCAGAGTTCAAGCCCCAGGAGGGGAGCTTCTAGAAAAGAATGAAATAAATCTACTTTGTTCCATTACTGAAGAAAAATGTTTCAAGATGTAGTGTTTTGTTTTGTTTTGCCAGTCCTAGAGCTTGCACTCAGGGCCTGGGCACTGTCTTTGAGCCTCTGTGTGCTCAAGGCTAGCATTCTACCACTTGAGCAACAGCACCACTTTTTCTGTTTATGTGGTACTGAGGAATTGAACCCAGGGCTTCATGCATGCTAGGCAAGTACTCTGCCACATTCCTATCCTTGTAGTATTGATTTTTAAATGACAGAATATGAATAGAGTAATAGTACTCTTTATTCCAACAGCCATAGGAATGAATCTCAGTTTACAAATTTTATTTTATTTTTTTGTCGGTCATGGGGCTTGAACTCTGGGGCTGAGCACTGTCCCTCAGCTCTTCAGCTAAAGGCTAGTGCTCCACCACTTGAGCTACACTGCCACTTCCAGTTTTCTGGTGGTTTATTGGAGATAAAGAGTTTCACAGACTTTCTTGCCCGGGCTGGCTTTGAACTATGATCCTCAGATCTCAGCCTCCTGAGTAGCTAGGATTACAGGCGTGAGCCACCAGCGCCTGGCTTCAGTTTACAAATTTTATTTGTAAGAAATTCCATTTTAGGGCTGGGAAGGTGGCTCAGTGGTAGAGCACTTGCCTTGCATGCTCGAGGCCCTGGGTTCAATTCCTAAGCACCACATAAGCAAAAAGCCGGAAGTGGCGCTGTGGCTCAAGTGGTAGAGTGTTAGCCTTGAGCTGAAGAGCTGAGGGACTGCGCCCAGGCCCAGAGTTCAGGCCCCATGATCGGAAAAGAAAAGAAATTCCATTTTAGCCGGGTGCTGGTGGCTCATGCCTGTAATCCTAGCTACTCAGGAGGCTGAGATCTGAGGATCGCGGTTCAAAGCCAGCCCAGGTAGGAAAGACCGTGAGACTCCTATCTCCAATAAACCACCAGAAAACCGGAAGTGGTGCTGTAGCTCAAGTGGTAGAGCGCTCGCCTTGAGCTGAAGAGCTGAGGGACAGTGCCCAGGCCCAGAGTTCAAGGCCCACTACCGACAAAAAAAAAAATCCATTTTAGTTTATATAATTTAATTCATGTTTAGGGTCAGCTTTGACCCTGAAACTTACTTTCGATGTGTCTGAATTATCTCAGATGGTATCTGTGAGGCTGGCAGAGGCCAGGTCCATCCGGTAGCCTCCATTGCTCTGGGCCTCTTCCTGAGCAGCCAGGAATCCTGGGCCCAGTGACCAGTGTCCTTATGACCTGACGCACCATGTGGCCACCTCTGTCTGAGATCTTTCTCCTGCCTTCCCAGATGAACTGTTAGAAGGCAAGCTGAGACTCTAGAAGCCAAAGATTCTTTTTTTTTTTTTGGGTCCAGTCGTAGGGCCTGAACTCTGGGCCTGGGCACTGTCCCTCAGCTCTTCAGCTCAAGGCTAGCGCTCTACCACTTGAGCCACAGCGCCACTTCTGGCTTTTTTCTTATGTGGTGCTGAGGAATCGAACCCAGGGCCTCAAGCATGCAAGGCAAGCACTCTACCACTGAGCTACCTTCCCAGCCCAAGCCAAAGATTCTTACTCCTCTATGTCACCTGTCCCCTAGCCAGTCAGGGAGAACAGGACTGGAAAAAAAGCTTTTTCCACTCCACAGTAAATCCTTTCTCCACTTTGCTTCTACTCAAGGCTTTCAGCCTTTGCCAGAGAACACTTGTACTTCGATGGGCTACTCAGCAAATCTTGAAGTTGCCCTAAACCCTTAAGCTTTTAGCACACAAAAGCTAGAGAGGCAGCTGGAGAGCAGCTCAGGACATAATGAGTTCCCTGAGCATGCGAGGAGGAAAGAGGAAAATGAAAAGATGACCAATCAATTCCTTAAATACTATCCCAGCCATGTGTATGTGCAAAAGAAAGCAAAAAGGCTGAATAAATCCATCAAATAATTAACAGCTTACCTCCAGAGTAGGCTTCTAGATGGGAGAAGAGATGGTATCAGACTGTTAACATTTTATTCTTCATTTCTAAGTTTTTGATTTTTTTTTTTTTGGTCATGTGGCCCGAACTCTGGGCCTGGGCACTGTCCCTCAGCTCTTCAAGGCTCGCACTCTACCACTTGAGCCACAGTGCCACTTCCTGCTTTTTCTGCTTATGTGGTGCTAAGGAATTGAACCCAGGGCCTTATGCATGTGAGGCAAGTACTCTACCACTGAGCCACCTTCCCAGCCCTGTTGATGTTTTTTAATGATAAAGTTGTACTTAGTATTAAAAAAAAAAAACTCATGGAAACAAGAGGTTTTTCTTTGTTGCTATTTTTGTTTGCTTTTCTTTTCTTCTTGTTTATCTGGTTTTGGGAGGGTAAGAGGGGCAGAGAAATGGAGGGACCAAGGGTGAACAAATGCAGCAGTGATACTCACTAGACACTATGTTGAAAATAAACTATACAACTTATGGGTAGAAATGGGAGGAAAAAACTGAGAGAGAGGGCTGGGAAGGTGGCTCAGTGGTAGAGCGCTTGCCTTGCATGCATGAGGCCCTGGGTTCAATTCCTCAGCACCACATAAGCAAAAAGAAAAAAGCCAGAAGTGGCGAGTGTGGCTCAAGTGGTAGAGTGCTAGCCTTGAGCTGAAGAGTTGAGGGACAGCGCCCAGGCCCAGAGTTCAGGCCCCACAACCAGACCCCCCACCAAAAAAAAAAAAAAAAAAACCTGAGAGAGAGCGAGGGAAGGGGTGACATTATGCAAAAAGAAATGTACTCATTACCTACTTAAATAACTGTAACCCCTCTGTACATCACCTTTATAACAATAAAAAAATTAAAGCAGAAAACAGACACAATGGGCTGACACTGAGACAGAGCTTTGCCTAGTGCAAAGGAGCTTATTCCAAGTTAGAATGAGTTAGGTCTACCTGTGGAGCCAAGGCCTATAGCTCTATAGGACAATTAGAAGCATAGCTCCTGCTGTGAGGCCACGGGAGGGCCAGTGACTTGCCAGAGGTATACGGTACTGATGGGTGTGACAATGTCCAGCAAAACTGATAGCTCCTGAGGGTGTGGCAGGAGCAAAGGGGCAAAGGGAGGTTGCAGAACCAGAGGAAGGGAAGAGATTGGGAAAGGTGGTGGTAATTATTCAGCCTGTACACTAGACACACCCTGGGGACACCCAAGATGTCCATGGGGTAAGAGTATGAGAAGGCAGAAGCTGAGCTCCTATAGTGGCAGCCAAGAGCAAGACAGACGCACGTGGTTGAGCTCTAATGACGTGACAAGGGCATGAGTTCAGATACGTGCATAGGTGGGGAGCACAGGACAGCGAGCCACAGAGTCTGCATGGGAGGGGTCAGGGAAGTTCTGAGCCAGCTGACCTTGGTGAGTCAGACTTGACAGACGGGCAATGGAGCACTGGGTGGAAAGGATGGAGAGCATGAGGAGCCACATGTGCAAAGGCCTGGCACCTGAGTGAGCAGTGTTTGGGGGACCTGAAAACAGCTCAGTCTGTTTACAATGAACCTAAGGGGGAGTGGAAGGTGAGGCCTATGGTAAGGAAGGAACCTGGACTTTATCCTGCAGGCAGCAGTGACACTCATGCAGTTCAGAAAAGGTCTACTTGGAAAGGAGATGATCACATTTACCGGGGAAGTGTCTCACCACCACACCCCTACCACCCAGCTAATTCCCACCCAGTGAACAGCCTGAGAATGAGTTACTTCTTTCAGGAAGTTCCCCCTAACACCTAAGCTAGTCCTCAGCTAAGGTTTCTAGGAGTTTCCAAGCACCTCTATCATCTTTCCTCATCACACTGAGTCGTAACAACCTGTGCCCTGTGTCTCTCCTCCTCTGTACACTGCCATAGAAGTATTGGGAGGTCAGGAACCTTAACTTCGCTCTAGATGTAGTCCTCATACTCTCCCTGTACCTGGCTGATAAATACTCAATATGTATTTAGGGAAAAACGGAAATGTGGAAAGAAACCTTGGAAAATACTTAGGAGGCAGAATGAATAGGTTTGGGTGATTAGATGAGGGTACCAGATACTTGAGGACTCCTACCTAGGTTGTGGCTTATGCAGCTGAGGCGATGAGTTAACCATGACTAGTTTATTCTGGAAGAGGAGGCAATGTTGGAGGTGATGAAATGTTGACTCTGACATGCCTGTAGGACATTCAGGTAGAACTGACCCAGGTGGAACCAAGTAAGTAACGTTCAGAAGAGAATGTCTAGGTGCTTGTGGCTCATGCCTGTAACCCCAGCTACTCAGAATGCTGAGATCTAAGGATCACGGGAAAGTCTGTGAGACTTTTATCTCCAGTTAACCACCAGAAAATCAGAAATGGAGCTGTGGCTCAAAGTAGTAGAGCACTAGCCTTGAGCAAAAAAGCTCAGGAACCATGCCTAAGCCCCAAGTTCAAGCCCCATGACTGACCAAAAAAAGGAAAATTAGAGAACCATCAAGTGATAGTTAAAAGAGTAGAGAAAGAATAGTTGGAGGAGGAGGTGAAACAACAAAGAGGATGGCAATCTGTAAGAGGAGGAGTCAAAGACAGAAAAATCAGCGTGAGGGAGGGAGGATGAGAAGCAGCCAAGAGCAAGTACCACAGGCACTGTCTATGGGAAAAGCAGCTTCAAGGGCTAGCAAACCAAATCTAACAGTGTGGAGGGACTGAGGGCAAACCAAAACTGAGGAACAAGAAGGCTAACAGTGGGGTATGGTCATGTAGACTACAGGCTCTCGAAGTACCCAAGACCCTTCCAGGAAGGTACATTAAGTCAAGACCATATTCTTTTATAATTAAACCAAAAGGTTTGTTTTTGTTTTATAATATTTACTTTATGAATATTTGCCCTGATTTTGCA